TTAGGGTTTTTTTGCAACTGCATTACACTGTTGTCTCATGTTAAGCTTGTGGTCTACTAAGACCCCTGGCCCACTAGGAATTAATCCATATTGCAGTCTACATGTGCTAGAACTAAGCTGTGTTTAAACTGGGTTCCAGATGCTTAATTGTGGCATGACAGGAGTCAATTTGTTAAATACAGGTCAGACAGATTTGGTCCAATAGGTTAGACAAAGGCCATCTCTGCTATGAAGCAGAGTAAAGGAGCAGCCACCTCAAATGGCAGATTACTCCACATGACAGGGCAGCAAATTGGCAGGTATTTAATTGACTTTTTATTGATCAAGGAGGAGCCATTATTGGATTTCCCACCTTTGTCCCCTTCCATGGCAGGCCGACCATATCATATCACAAACTCATCTTGAAAATCTCCTTAATTTCAGAAGTTTGCCATGCAGGATGAGGGCATGGGACTCCTGCTTCAGAAAAGGACCCAAAGCTCTCTTGGGCGCACAGAACTAGTCATGGGGTTGTTTGGATTCAGGCCAGCATAATTTGTCTCATTACATCATTTGATATGCATTAATCTCAATATTAATGAGCAGATTAATGTAGTCAATGATAAACTCTGAAATCCCAAATGACGGCTCATCTAATTTGCATTATATAAGGACTTGCAGGAAGATCTTAAGGCTTTATGTTTATCTTTCCCCATCTAATCTGTACACACAGAGACATACACACACTGACCCTTTGTGAGTCTATAGTAAGTTGTGTTTCCTTTTCAGACGTTTTCTAAGACCTTGGCTTTGTAATAAATAGACAAAGCTTTGTTGTTGTTCTTTTACTATACATGGAGATTTGCCCAAGTTGACAGTAGGGGTGCTTGAGGGATTTGATCTTTGTGAATTCCTAAATTAAATTATCTCATATGTGCCACTCAGATTAATGTGAATATTGGAAATTAGCTGTCCGCCAGATTCCACACTTTCCCAGATATTGCAGCAGGTTTCTTGGCAGTTTCAACAAACAAAATGTATTATGATTTTATTTTATTTTATTTTAATGCAAGTTAATTGGAGCATAACAGAATTATGGGTAAAAATAAGGAAAAGTCACCAAACCTTAATTGACAGGAAGGATCTTTACATTTAGGTTTAGCAACACAAGATTGTAATATCTATTGATATGTATTTTCAAATTGACTGACATTTCATAGGATACTGTTGGCTCCCTGACAGATATTGTTACAAATGAGCTTGAAAATAATAATAATTAAGACTATTGACTAATTAGTTATTAAAAAGGTAAAGGTACCCCTGCCCGTACGGGCCAGTCGTGTCCGACTCTAGGGTTGCGTGCTCATCTCGCTCTAGAGGCTGTGAGCCGGCGCCATCCGAAGACACTTCTGGGTCACATGGCCAGCGTGACGAAGCTGCAGCTGGCGAGCCAGCTCCAGTGAAGCGCACGGAAACGCCGTTTACCTTCCTGCTATAAAGCAGTACCTATTTATCTACTTCCCCTTAAGAGTGCTTTCGACTGCTAGGTGGGCAGGAGCTGGGACCGAACGACGGGAGCTCACCCCGCTGCGGGGATTCGAACCGCCGACCATGCGATCAGCAAGTCCTAGGCACTGAGGTTTTACCCACAGCGCCACTCACGTCCCTTAATTAGTTATTATTAGTTGGTTATTGACTTGCCTTTTAAGCAATTAATTTAAATTATTTCAAATTGCCCAAACCACAGTATTGGTACCTTTTTGGGGTACTGAAGGAAGTGTAAAAAAACGGCAATTTACTAAATGAAAGGCACCACTTTAATAGATTGTTTTACATACACACCAGAACCAAAACAGCCTTTTTTAAATGGTGTGTCCTTTACCCACAACACCACTGAGTAAAATTGCCCCTCATAAATTAATCTTTCAATTACACTAATGCTTGCAGCTCTCACTGAAACTAACCCAAGCAAAATTACATATGTCTTGGATTTATTTCTCACAAATCTTCTCTGGCAATATCCCACACCATGCAATTTATATATATTTTTCTGTGTCTTGCGTCATCACCTGAAAATACTTTCAGGACCATTGGAGCCCCTTTCAGCAGCCTTTAAAATGTTCCTTGCTTCCTTTTTCTTTGTCGCCATCACTTCCCTCCGTTTGGCTAACCTCACCCCCCAGGCTTCCTGACTCATTCCTGATTTATCTGGGTAAATAAGTCTCTGATTATTCTTTATGCCGTTGCAAATAAAGTCCTTTTTAGAAACAGATGTTAAAAGGATCTGGCAAAATAATCCTGGAGGGCAGTAACTGCCTTCTGTAAACTACTAGCCTTGTGGCACGCAGTGATGAAACAAAATGGTACAGGCTACAGGGAAATAATTAAATTATGGTTTCATTTTAGGAGCCCATTTTAAAACTGAGATTTCTGAGCGCATAATACTAACATTATATAGTTGAAAGGATCCTTGTCTGGGTCATGAGCGTTGCGGGTGGGGGGGGTAGTATTAATCGTGCTTGACTGGAAAGATGTGTGTAACCTGCAACAAGCGGCCCTTGTAGCCTTGCCAAAAGAAGCTTTTGTTCCCTGAAGAGAATTGTATTAAAGGCCAGTGTGTCCTATTATTATTTGAGCAACAGCAGCTTTGAAATGAGCCTTTCAGATTTCAATACACTGAATCAACAAGCAACAAATAAAAGAAAACAAGCTTTGTGTTGTACCTCAGTGCTGCATGACCTCCCTCATCCCTTACCTAGTTGCTGTGTTCGCTGACACAATTGCCTAAAATAACTAAAGATAATTGGGTGCTTCTGACGGAATTGGAGGCAGGCCAGGAAAGATGTGGAGCCTGGAGGGGGGTGGAACATCTTCCTCCAGTGCTAAACACGGCAGCCTGTTTAACAATGGTGGTCTTTTGCAAGTGGTGTTTAGGACAAAAAAGAGAGGGTGCCGTCCTGGGCTTAGTGAGATGAGGGACGTGCCAGCTGGGAGAGGGCAAAGTATGAGATGCAAGACGAGGAGTCAGTGGAAAAACATGTATCGTGCAGAAAGAGCTGACGTAGCACACTGGGAAACCTGTGTGAGATCATGGCTTGTTCCTTCCCAGTTGGGCTAACATGCGGCATCAGTCTTTTTGGAGGAGAGAAAGGTTGGGGAATGTTTGGGGAGCATTTGTTGGTAGAATCAGGGAGGGAGGGAAGAGGCAAGCACTCTTCTCACACCCAACAATTCTGCTCGGCAAATTCAGCCACCCTGCACTAGTATGAAAGACAAAGACCTAGTGGGATCGCTGTTTCTTGGTCTCAACTATGCATCCATTGTATGGCGATAAATATGTTGAGCTACATTTCAGTGTGGTCATGAAGACTAGTAAATTCATAATAACTATTACTATTTAGACTATAAATTCAGACTATAAACCCCAAGAAGTTACAGGCCATTAGACTGATTCCATAGTCTAGTGGGCTAGTAATGTGTTGTCCTATTTGTTGTTGATTTCAGGTTTCTTTGAATTCTGGCAGAGACATTGAAACCTCATTTCATTCATTCATTCATTTGTATGCTGCTTTGCCACATGCTCAAACTGGCTTACAACAAAGAAAGGGGGGTGCATTTCAGACAAGCACTATAAAAACAATTTCACAACAACATAGCAAAGCAAAAATATAACAACATAAAAACCCACATTTCAATACTATACATATATATTGCATACCTATATATAACAAAATTATATGCACGCAGCATCCCATAGCAAAAATAAAAAGGGAGCTTTACAGTTTCACCCTAATCCTTGAAACTTCCCTCCATGATGTCATTTCTCTTCCCCAGCAATAAAGAATTCTGGGATTACTCCTCCCAGAGCTACAGTTCCCAGCACCCTTAACCAACTACAGTTAGGATTCTTGGGAGGGAGCACTTGAAGTGTGCTTTATATCTATGGTGTATATGCAGCCTCGCTCTCTATGTGGATAATTGTTTCGTGTAATTTCTTGCTTTTCATCTCCACCAGACACCTCAGCTTTCATTAGTATCCCATCCTATTTATTAAGATATTTAAGATATTATTTAAGTTTGCTACAAGAAATTAAAGAGACACCCTGGTGCTATTTTGGGTTTGGGTCTTCAAGAAGCTGAGCTAAGGGACTTCTGAGTTTCCAAGACAAAAACAGACAAGCACCCAGGATTTACAGTGTAAAACAATTACTGGCTGACTTCAGTGTCTTTGAGACGTCTGCCGCTCTTGCTGGCAGTGACATCAGGTTACGATCACTATGGAGCTACGTGAAGGGAAAATAAGATTGTTCCACTAGAATAAAAAAGGAAAAGGATGGAGAAAGTGAGAAGAAATCAGTTGATTTTTGCTGCAATTCAACAGAACACTGCACCAAGTTGGAATGTAAAATTCAGCTTTTGTGTTCACACATGATCATGCTGATCATTTGTTAAAGTTCTGGGTTTTTGCTGTATAGCATGTAGGTCCCAACTTCAGAGTATGCGTCTGGATCTACATTGATCTGTAAAAGCGTTATTAAAAATAGCACTAAATAATGTTATATAATGTTATATAACGCTCAATGCATTTTTCCATTGCCGGCAGATCGCTGCTCTGCGGTGTCACATTTTTATAACGCATTTCTAACATTATAACCAACAAATGTAGATTCGCCCACAGACATGTTTGCTTCTGAAAGGCAGCCTAGAAATAATGAAGATATATTCAAGGCTTATTTCTTGCCACTTGCTGGAACATGTTGAATAATGAGATCAGCATTAGGAGCTCAGTCATAAAAAGAGCAGAAGTGAAGAATACTAAGAATATGGGACCCTCAAACAAAAATGGTGATTGTGTGTTGAGAGCCTTTGCCCTTTATAATATGTAGTTTTGCTGAAATATGTAGTTTGTATGAAATATGTAGTTATTTCAGTTATGCTGAAATATGTAGTTTGTATGAATTGATTCACATTTTGAGAAGCATTGACCTCAGAATGGTAACCTTCTGTCTTTCTATGTTAAGTGCAGGGGAGAAATCACCCTGAAACGCTCTATTCAACAATTGCAGATATTGGACGAGAATGAACACAAAAGATCCGAAGGTGACGGAAGGGGGCCTCAATGTCACACTCACTATACGTCTTCTTATGCATGGAAAGGTAACTTGCTTTACACTGAGATATTGGGCAGGGGGCGGGTCAGAAACATGGGTGTATGTTAGTGGTTGTATTTTAGGTTGCTTTGTTATTAACAGTATTAGAGGTCCAACATTTTAGCCTTATTTACACACTAGCAAAACTGATTATAACTAGGGATAGGTGGATGTGTCTGTTTTTTGGTTTGCACATTAAAAAGTTGGAGCGATCGGAAGTGCAATTTAAGGCTCCCTTTTATTCCGCTGCAGTTGTAGATTTACCTGCTCTACAAGTGTGGCTGAAGGAAGATGTCATTGCAGGCCAAATTAGGACTCCTGGTGAGCCTAATGAGACCCATAGGCCAGAAGTTTTTAGAGGGAGACATGTGAATAGCCATGCCCCATAGCCAATATTTTGTGGTGGTACCCATGCCATTTTTTCCAAAAATTCAAATGTGCCACCATTTTCCATGTATCCCTTGTTCAAAAGTGTTTCCTTTCCTGTTTTAAGATGCAAAACTATTTTATATGTATTTCAGCGAAGTACTGTAAGTGAGCTGTCAGTTGGGGTGGGGTGGAAATCCAGATGTGGCCACATGTCCCAAAGGTTAAAGGCTCCAGATACAGTTAACTGTTATGAGCTGTGCAAGAATGTCTGCACCACCCCCTTGTAGCAGCAACCCTTAGAAGTGTGTCTACATCTTAATCACAGGGTTTATTTTACTTCCAGAAAGTCTGACAATTGTTCCTTCAACTTGTTTACCGTTGTGTAACTTATACAAAATTCAAGATAGCCACAGACACAGAAATGCTGTTTGAAGGATGAGAGATCCACCAAATGTTTGAAATCTGCAACATAGCCCAGCTTGTCGGTTTGTAGACTGACATACATTCTAGTAATGGAGAGGATGGAGGAAGAGAATTGATCTTCCTTCTGCCCACAGCATCCTTCTCCTCTGCATTTCAGGTAGTCAGCTGCAACAAAAACATTGTAGCATCTTGAAAACTAATCTTCTGTGGCTTCTTCTTAGTATACTCTAGTTCATGACAGCATACGTCATAAATTTCCCATCCCTCTCAGCTTTCTGCAAATACCTCTTTGTAAGGACTGAGTCACAGATAGCAGCTTGTGTAAGAGAGAGCATGTGGCACAGGTGGCATTTGAGTTCATAGCTCAGGCGCTTTACATTACCCTTCGTTTGTTAAGTTACGTTAATGCAAGTTAGTTGTGCCATAGCTTTACTGAAGGCACACATGTCTGTTACCCCATTACGCACACAATGATCTCTCAAACAGCATAAGTGAATATTTGGATCTCTGGCATTTGTCAATTGCGTTGTCAAGTTTAGATCTGTCAGTTACTTTCTTTGTAAGTGCTGCACTGTATGGCTCTGTTTGACTCGCACAGCTGGGTGTTGTTATGACATTATAGCTAAAGCAATCACTTTGGAAATGGTTTCCTGCATAGTGATAACACCCACTGCTTCTGCACTGCTCATTTGGTGCCAAAATGCATTGTTGCCTAATCCATCATGTGAATTAGACATTAAAACTTATGCTACGTCTGGCTTCTATCATTAAATAAAATAGATATTTTGTTTTTAAACAGTTCCTTATTGAACAGACTAGCTGAAAATTTAGGAGGTGTATATTCTCCAGCACTAACATTGGCAGAAAACATGCTAGATATTTGTTTTCTGCAAGACAAGGGCTGGACTTCCATCTTGTCTAATTTGATGTGGAAAAATGGAAGTGGAAGAGGTGTGAAAGGGCTTCTCCTAAGCTACAAAGGGAAAAAACCCAAAGTTGCTGGCACTCTCAATTATTTATGAGGAAATTAAGTGTTTCAGGCTCGTTCTTGTTATCAGGGGCAGGGGGGCGGGAAAAGCTTTCTTTCATAAATCAAAATCTGATTCCTTATGCTCTGCCTCCATTGCTTTGTTGCTCTGATGGCAAACGTCTTGTGGTTCCCCAAACTCTGAGGTATCCTTTGCCAGGGTCTGAGTTCATAGGTCAGCAGGCCTGGACAGCCCTGAGGAACTCCCTGCCAATAAAGGTTCGGCAGGAATCATTCTTGCCTTCTTTCAGGCAGGCCTTTGCAATGTGGAGTTGAGGTGGTTTTGTTTTTTTACCAAACAGTATTTAGGATTGTTTTTATTTATCTTGCTGTAATTTGTGTGTTGCATATAACCTTGCTGTATTTTTCACAAACGTGTGGTCTATAAATATTTCAATAAATAAATAAGCTTCACTTCATTTTTCACTGTTGGGGTGTGTGTGGAAATGAGTGGACCTGGAAATTAAATAACAAAATCTCCAAACAGTTGTTTGAACTGCAACTACTTGGGTTGCCTTACTGGTATGTTCTGAGAAACATTTGCGCAGAAATTTTTTGAAACTAACCAAATAGTGCAATCCTATCATAGCTGTCAACTTACAGATTTGAAAATAAGGGACCAGCAGCCTTAATAAGGGGAGCAGCCAAAATAAGGGACTGCAAGCCTCACCTGTTCCAGGCACTCCAGTCTTCCTGTCCTCCTGCAGTCTGGTCAAACTCATGCTGGTAGCTTCGAGAACACCGTCCAACCAACTTTGTAACCAGAGGTTCAACTGAATAGAATCTGAATCACATGCACCACAAGGCCTATGCAGCCTCAACTTAAGATGGCTCCCCGGCCTGGCTTTGCACTGCAAAGTTTGCAGCAGCACGTGCAACAAAATGGCGTCCAGCATTCAAAAAAACTCTCAGCTTGCATTAACTAGCCACACACAAGGCATGCAAGCTCCACCCCCCACTCGTTCTTAAACTTCTTATTAGGTGAGCAACACAGCCAAGCAACACAGTTGGAGCCTCCCTCCTCCCTGGCCAGCAGGGAGGAGCTGCTTCCTTTGAAATTTAAGGGACATCATTTAAGGGACATTTTAGGGACATCTATCAATAAGGGACAGCAGCGGGACATGGCGCTGGAATAAGGGACTGTCCCTTCAAATAAGGGACACTTGACAGCTATGAATCCTATACATATTTACTAAGAAGTAAGCCCCACTGACTTCAGTGGGACTTACTCCCATGTCACCTTGTATAGGATTGCAGCCTAAATAGAAGGTCCATAAAATCCAAATGCCTAGTTCAAAGATGTATAAAAATATTTATGCTCGTCGTATCTGCCTTGCAGAAGCAAATGTTGGCTTTGTCCTGATGAATCCTTGCACTGTTTTTTGGGTTGTTCATTTTTTCTTTAAAGACATGAATAGTAACGTTTGTTGGTCAACAGTGAGTCAGACGACATTCTGTTGGGAGAGCTATGCAGCTGCATTGTATTAATCACGTATGAGACTTCTCGAGCAATGCAGCCAGCATTAGCATCCAGCTCTAAAATTTGTTAAATGTTAATGTTTCTGTGTAAATCATGTTTCTGTGTAAATCATTTCCCACTAATAGATGGATATGTGTTGTTCAGGCTGTCGGCTGTCCATAATCTGTCAGGCATGATGGTCTGATATCTCCGCTTTGAGCATGAACAGACCCTATGTTATCATGCTTTCTTCTTTTCAAAAAAAGATGTCATAGCTCTATAGCACAGCTTTCTCAGTAAGATTGTTAACAAGTTGAATGCAAATTTTATTATTTTATTTATGGTTAAAGATGCTGGAATTATTATTATTTACCTTGATTAAGCATTTGGCTAGGCCTCTGGGGCAACATAGAATTATTTCAGGCCATAGCTAGTCTGTGGACCTCCAATTTCATTTATGTAGCTCACTGCCTTGTTTAGCAACATAATTGTGCCTTTCTGTTGTTTCAGTTACATAATACTTTTAGATATGTTGAATATATCTGTTCTAGTCCATTTACATTTTTAAGATTTACAGATGTGTAGATGTATTCCTTTGCTTGCATTCATGTATATTTTGCTTTGCTTTGTTTCAGGAGGTTGGCAGCATCATTGGAAAGGTCAGTGACCCACTTTTTTGAGGGTGGTTTCTTTTTTTTAGTCAGCTCAGTTTATTTGATATTTTTCTACAAATTAACCAGTCATGGAGCGTGTTCGTGTGAGCTAATAAATGCTTTCTGTTTCTTTAACAGAAAGGTGAAACTGTCAAGAAAATGAGGGAGGAGGTAAGATGCAAATTTTGTACTCTTTGACTTAATTTTTCTGCAATTTCAGAAAATATATACCTGGTGGTGGTACTGAATTGCTGTATTGCTCACATGTATGAATCAATCCTGCCACCAAGTGGTCAAAAAACCAAAACCAAACATCTGCAATGAACTGTAATTCACAATTTTTTGTGATGTTCCCTTCTCGTGCACAGTGCACTGAATTTAGACAAGAGGGGACCTGAGCTATGAAAATCTCTTGTTCAGCTATAAAGCTCACTGGATGAACTTGGGGAGTCACTCTCATTCAGCCTAACGTCCTTACAGGGTTGTGATGATAAAATGGAATAATTCCATATACACCAGGGGTCGGCAAGTTTTTGTGGCTTGGGCTGGTTCACCGTCCCGCAGACCCTGCTGTGGGCCGGAGTGCGTGCACGCATGTGCAAACACTATTTCCAGCGCTCCTTCTGGCGCAGAGGAGGCGTGCACAGCTTCCCATTGGCTGTTGGAGCTTCCTGCAGCCAATGGGAAGCCGGCCAGCATTGCGGAAAGTGGTCCCCACTCTGCTCCGCACCGGTTTAGCATGGTGCATGGGAGCCAACCGAGCAGGTGGCAGGGACCCATGGGCGGGCTAAACAACCCCCATGGGCCGCTTGTGGCCTATGAACCTTAGGTTGCCGACCCCTGATATACACCATCCTAAATAAATATTGAAAGCTTAATTCAGAGCTTCTTACCAAACTAATTGTTTAAAAAACCCCAAAATAATTCGGTAAGATCAGATTACTGCTCTGAATCTACAGCAATTAATCTTTAAAATACGGTTTTAGTTCTCACTGATCTAAAGAATTACATGTCTAGGCTGTACCTCTTCTTACCACATAAAAGAACTCACACATTGAATGTTCCTCCATACCCCGCCAGAATAAATAGAAATATCTGTCCACATAGAAAACTAGTCAAGAAATAAGAGCCCTGTTCAGTCATTGCTCACTTGAGGAGGCATTGCAAGTGCAAAGAAGCTGCTCAGTCAGGGTTTCTAAATTCTACACAAGTAGAAAAGAGTTCCTACTACATGTTTGCACCCAAGCATGTGGAAAACTGTTACAAGTCACGGGATGATATGGGGCTGAAAGTCCCTTAATACTCACATTTCCCCTTCGTGCCAATAGTAGGGCTTAGATGTTAGGGGCAAGGGCTCTGGCCTCCTAGCCTTCTTCCTAGCATGCTAGATTTCTGTATGCAAGGATTTTGGAGAAGCATGGAAGTCTGCATGGAGTCTGAACTGGTACAGCCCAATCTGTTCCGTGGGGTTAATTGTGAGTTACAACTCAATGCTAACCATTTTTACTTGTGTTGAATCAAAGAGACTTGCTTCTAAGTAAGCAGAAATAAAGGATTGCAACTTTAGTGTGTGTCAGATTGTCCTCATATGAAAATGCTACAGAACCACAAAAACTGGAATACAAACATTTGTATTCCCTCCTGTAATAGAAAGGATCTTTATAAGTTATTAACAGTGTATTAGACAGTTCTAAAAATGTGCAATGATATATCAGACTCTTGATATTTCTTCAAAATAGTTCAGCTTTTCTGTTTCATATTTATTAGTCTGGTAATAAATTTTAAGCTGTAGCATTGTCTTATTTGTTGTTCTTACTACACATTGCTATTATTTCTCAACAGGAAAAAGCCTTTCTGTCTAAGATGTTAAAATAGCCAGACTGTTATAGTCTATTTGTTAGAACAATATTATTTTTCATGCCCTGCATATGTCTGTTTGAGAGGGTCTCACTACACATCCATTGTGAAGGAAGTGATTCCAAAGAGCAGGGAGGAAATGCTCCCAGCATGTTTTGAGCATTTAGCTCTGCCAGCAAAATAGTCCTTCATAATTACGGTAATTAAATCATAAATCTTCCTAACAGAAAGAAACTAATTCAGACTATAATTCCCATCCAGCAACATACCATGGGTTTGTTGTTTTGAAGCCTTATTCCTTCCTCTGCATGGGAGAGAACGTGATTCGAAGCTTCTGCTTCCAGTTAGCAGGAAACCATCGTTCGTCATGATGCAACAAATTATTATCTGCTCTAACCATAGTTTACCCACAACCAGGATCCCAAAAGCTGGAGTTTATGTGATACAGAACTAACACAACATTGTACCTTTGTTATATTCTTGTTCTAAGTGTTTTTGTATTTTTTGAAAAACTTCAATAAAAATATTATTTGAAAACAAACAAACCCATAACTGGGATTCCAGATTAACTTCTATTATATAAGTGTAAGCTATAAATGCAAGTCATAAAAATATAGATTTAAATTGTTTACAGTGGCCTTAATCCAAAGTCCTGCATAAGAGTCTTGAGATGCACTCAGGGATTTTTGAGGGGAGCCATTTGCCCACTGCGTGATCTCTTCGTATGGCCTGGAAAGCCCCCGGGAAAAGTCTACATCAGTTTCAGTCCAAGGGGCTGCAGCTTGGAAGGGAAGATAGGCACAAACCATGGAGCTCTTGGATCTTGGCAAATGTGTTTTAAGTTTGTCCCATGAGTAACTTTAGAGTCACCTGATGGATAGCATTCTTGTTCCCAACTCTCTTCATGATTTTCCTAAACTATTGTGCTCTTGCCTATTACAGTGGTACCTTTAGTTACAGACTCAATCAGTTCCGGGGTGCCGTTCGCACCCCAAAAAGTCTGTAACTAGAGCACCGCTTCTGCGCATGCGCAAAACACACAAAATGCTTTTTGCTTTTGCGCATACGCGCGTGGCAAAACCCGGGAGTATACACTTCCGGGTTTGCCACGTTCGCAAGCCGAAAAGATGCAACTTGAACCTAACACAACACGAGGTATGACTGTACAGTGTCAGCTTTTGTTTCATTTTTTTCAAAGAACTGCCCTTCATTTCAATCATTTCAGTGGCTGTATCTGACCTGCCTTGCCACTCCTTCGTTCAATTCTACCTTGCCTCTGCACCACTGGGGGGGGGGTATATACATGCAGTTAAACTGGATAACACTGAAAAGCGTACTTTTCAAGTCAAGGCTGGTAAACTGTTAAGTAGATACTTTACAAATAAATGTGCTTTTTTGGGGGGGGGTTACCCTTTCCACAGAGTGGTGCTCGAATCAACATCTCAGAAGGCTCCTGTCCAGAAAGAATTGTGACGATAACGGGCCCAACAGATGCCATTTTCAAGGCTTTTTCCATGATTGCACTAAAATTTGAAGAAGTAAGTAAATGGAAATTCCTCATACCCCAGGCTACTCTACAGATATTGTTTTAATTTCCTTATGTTTGCTTTAATACAGAATTTGTTTTATAAATGCTCACAGCAGTAACAATGGAAGAGGAATAACAGGCCATTTGCATGTTGTCTGATCATTAATTTTCCTCTTTGCATTCTCTGGGGAAAATCAGTCCCCTCTGGCTGCATGAGGAGATGAGAAAGACAAAATCCCTATTTGTTGTGTCCTACTTTTTAATTTGAATTGGGGAGGCAGCAACAATTCTAAAGCATCTAATATGGAGACCTGAGACTATTCCCTCCCCGCCCCGCCCCCAGATGCTACAGTTTTTTCATGGAGTTTCAACCAAATTTAGTATTAAACAATAATATGTAACATTTGTACAGCTTTTGCAGGTGTTCAGAGCACTCAACATGCACTAGGTCATTATCCTTCATGCTTTAGATCAGTGGTTTTCAACCAGTGTGCCATGACACCCTGGGGTGCCTTGAATGATAGTCGGGCGTGCTGCGGGGAACACTGGCCTCTGACCCTCTTTCCTTTCCTCCCTCCTCTTATGATCTCTTATGTCTCTGCCTCCCAAAGGCTTGCACAGCTGTTTGTTGTAGCAGCTCTGGCTATAAGCCCCCCAGAGGAATGGTTCCTCTGCGGCTGGCCAGGGGAGGCTAAACCCTACATAGCCAATTTGCCTGATAGGCAAATTTCTACCTGGCCCCGAAATATGGCAACCAGCAGAGACATAGCAAGGCCAATTCAGTAGGGATAAAGTCAAGATTAATGGAGTGGGTGGGGAGGTTGATCTGTTGAAGAAGAGCTGGGTGTCAGGGGCCACCACAGGCTGTTTAAATCCCCTAGGAGCAGACCTGAGGGAAGCCTGGTTGTTTCCCCAGGCCCACCCCCAGAGAGCCCTGCCCTCCGTGCCAGTCCAGTGTGGAGTGAGCTGTCCATGTGATAAAGGGTAAAGGGACTCCTGACCATTAGGTCCAATCACGGATGACTCTGGGGTTGCGGCGCTCATCTTGCTTTATTGGCCAAGCGTACAGCTTCCAGGTCATGTGGCCAGCATGACTAAGCTGCTTCTGGCGAACCAGAACAGTGAACGGAAACGCCGTTTACCTTCCCGCTGGAGCTGTACCTATTTATCTACTTGCACTTTGATGTGCTTTTGAACTGCTAGGTTGGCAGGAGCAGGGACCAAGCAACGGGAGCTCACCCCGTCATGGGGATTCAAGCATGTGATATAATATTTCATGAAGAGGTAGTGTGGAACTAAGCTTAATATTCCTACTATTCCTTGAGTACCTTTTTAAGATAGACAGGATATTTTTGTTCTAATAATTCTCATCACCCCAATCATTAGTATGATTTTTTTCCTGTTATGCATTTCTGTTGCTTTTAGACTGGATTTTTCCACTAAGCTAGATATGCATTACACAGACAGTAATGAAGGGCAGGAAGATTGATACTGTTTAAGCAAAACTAACAAGTAACTTTGCCTTGTATAAACCCTGCTGAAACAAATGGTAGTTGTGCAAGGCACAGACAGGTATCAATTTCAATGAATCCTGCAGAAGAAAAATATCAGCAGGATTGTGCCACAACGTCTATAAGTGCAGTGTACAATATTTGCAGTGAAATCACACTTCTTCGTATTTATTCTTTCTCTAAGTACTTCAACTGTTCCTCTCAAGGGTCCAGCGGACTAATAAATCCTTGCCTAATTCTCCTTGACATTGTCATTTCAGGATATCAATGCTTCGATGACAAACAGCACGGTAACAAGCAAGCCTCCTGTAACGCTGCGACTTGTAGTTCCTGCAAGCCAGTGTGGATCCCTTATAGGCAAAGGAGGATCCAAAATCAAAGAAATCAGGGAGGTAGGCAGCAATCCAGAGTATTGATTGTTTTCTTCAGCACAGTGGGTTTCAAAGTTTCTACTGTCAGAGAAATCCTGCTTACAGGATGCATGTATCATGGAACACCTGTGCCTTGATTCAGGGCTGTATTATAGGATGCATACTCAGTCAGTGGTCAGACTTGCCAGGCCCTTGCCACCCCCTACGAACAGAGCCTGTGTCCTAAAACATACCTCTCCTGAGTTTGTTAGTGATATATTTCAGGGAATCTTCTCCACTTAGAACTCAGGTTCCCCTGGAGCAGAATTTGAAAGCTGTTTGGAAAGCTCTGGTGAAGGGATGGCAGGGCTTTCTTAGAGGCCAAGAACAGAAGGTAGCAGTGTTCTTGATGAAGTTTCCGGTTGTCAGAAATGATGGTTCTTGAGTGGTGGTCTTTCTGTAGGAAAGAGGCTCTTAATACAGGCCTTTTGGGTTTCAGGTTTCATAGAATCAGATCTAGGCTTGTTTGCTTCCTTTTCCTGCCCCCTCCTCCCTTCACATACTCCAGTTTCCTTGTTTCGCAGTGGCAGGGGTGGGTGGGGAAACATAGTTTATGTTGCACCTGAACCAAGCTACCTGTGATTTGTGCAAACCACAATTTGCCTTGTTTGCCAAACCATTTAAATTAATGCCAAAGAATTTCAACAAGGATCAGAAAGTGGTGTCAACAACAGCCAACTTGGAATTTCCCATTGCTGTGAGGCTTTGGCGGGGGTGGCAGGCGGTGCACAGCAGGCACTTTGGACCGTCCCTGAAACTAGCCCCACTTTGACAGTCTGAACAACAGGACAAAGTACAGCCAGGCAAAGGCTTGCAAGCTCCCTCCAGCCATGCACCAGGAGGAGAAAGGCAGAGGAGAAAGCACAAGGCTAGGAGGAGGCCATTCCCTCCTCACACATCCCTCCTCCAGGGGTGAGTGAGATGTCAAAAATGCGCCAGTGAGTGAAAAGTTTGCGTGATGTGGTGAGCTGTGCATTTCTTGTAACACCTTTGTTTGTGTTTAAGTCTACAGGAGCCCAAGTGCAAGTTGCTGGCGATATGTTACCAAACTCCACAGAACGTGCGGTTACAATATCGGGCACTCCTGACGCCATTATTCAGTGTGTGAAGCAAATCTGCGTGGTGATGCTAGAGGTAGGATGCGGGTCTTGTTAAATGATGATCAAGAGCTTTTGTTGCAGGCTGTCTTTAAATCTGAGTAACTGTGATTGAGGGATGCTCAGCTTATTTTCAGTCCGATGCTCACTTTTCTTTCTGGGCAACTTTGAGGGCCGCGTGCAAATGGGTGGAGCAATGGTTGTAGATTTCACCTTTGTACCGTAGGCTAGTTTCTACATGCACTCACTCACTATCCTCTAGTCAGACATGTAAGAGGCATTATCAGAGCTCAAGGACAAACGACTTTGAAGCTGGGCCAGTATGGGACGTGGCCTGGGGGAGAGCTCTGAGGCCTATACAGGGAACTCTGGAGGGTTGCCCTCTGCCATCAGGGCAATATAGCACATAAATCAAGCAGTTGGTCCCTTACCTTTCCCGCCCCGACCTGGCCACAGTGATCCATGCGACGGTCATCTCCAGGCTTGACTACTGTAATTCGCTCTACGCGGGGCTGCCCTTGAAGCTGTCCCAGAAACTCCAGCGGGTACAGAATGCTGCAGCGAGGCTCCTCACGGGGTCTCTGCCATGGGAGCATATTCACCCAGTGTTTTTCAAGCTGCACTGGCTCCCAGTAGAGTACAGGGTCAGATTTGAGGTGCTGCTTTTGACCTTTAAAGCCCTTCACGGCCTAGGACCCTCGTACCTACGGGACCGCCTCTCCTGGTATGCCCCACGGAGAGCCTCAAGGTCCATAAATAACAACACCCTAGTGGTCCCAGGCCCTAAGGAAGTCAGATTAGCCTCAACCAGAGCCAGGGCCTTCTCAACACTGGCCCCGGCCTGGTGGAACGCTCTGCCTCATGAGACCAGGGCCCTGCAGGATCTGATCTCTTTCCGCAGGGCCTGTAAGACAGAGTTGTTCCGCCTGGCCTTTGGCTTGGAGCCAATTTGATTCCCTCCCTCCCTCTCTTTCTTTTTTCTTTTCCTTCTCCTCCTGGGATGAGGCTACATTTTAATATTTTAATGTTTCAATATTTTAATGTTGTATTTTTAATTTTCTTTTTAAGTTGTAATCATTTAACTTGTTTTTATTATTGCTTGTAAGCCGCTCTGAGCCCGGCCTTGGCTAGGGAGGGCGGGGTATAAATAAAAATTATTATTATTATTATTATTATTATTATTATTATTATTATTATTAATCCCTTTGACAGCAATTGCGGCTCACAGTTTTCCTGGTTAGTCTTTCTTTTCTACTACCAAGTAGATACTGGCTATATGTTACATCCCAGCAGTGGAGAACAGTATGTAACAAAAAACTTTTAACATCTGTGTATGTAAATGCTACCCTACCATACCTGGCTGAAAACATGGGGCGTTCAAAACGTAACTATACACCCACTATGGCTACACTGTCCAGGGGTGTATCATTACTTTTCGAACACCCTGTACAATTCAGGCATTCAAAACCAATCAGTCTTGTTTTGAGTCTTTAACTATCACATTTTGGGGATTCTCAGTACCATAGCAATAATTTGCAAGAAACAGATTTGAATGCTTGCTTACTTTCTCTTACTGCCTTATGTTTTCGTCCTCAGTCACCACCCAAAGGTGCCACCATTCCTTACCGCCCCAAACCTGCCTCTGCACCCATAATTTTTGCAGGTGGCCAGGTAAGAGCAGACACCATTTTGACTTCAGCCGGAAACCACACCGTCTTGGCCCAACCTCAGCCAGCGCCTGTTAGTTTTCAACTTTTACTACTTTTCTGTCTGGTATAGTACTGCTTTTCTGATGTGATAGATGTAATTCTGTTGTTGCTGTCCCCAAATCCTACCTGTGCCGCCCTTAACACCAGCATGCTCCCTGCCATGCCTCTGTTCCTACGACCCCTCCTCCCCCCAACCAGGTTGGAAGCCATGTCTGGAACAGGTTAATTTGGTAGGGGAAGGCTGAGGGTATCTCAGATATGGAGGCATGCAGGACCCTGTGCATAAAATAACCCTTAGAGCAGACCACTAATCACATACTCATATATTTGTATCACATATTAATAATGTCCCAATCCAATATTTTTTAGTTATTCATGCACCAGTATTTCTAGGGATGGAATTCTGTTTTATAAACGTGAGAAATTGGCACTGTTCCAATATTAATGCAAAATATAGATGTGTTTGGCAATATCTCTGGATATACTATAAACTGGTCCAAATCGGAGTTGATGTTAATAGGAAATAAGTTTTTGGTTCACCCATTTGAACAATACCAATCTCATATTTGCATAGACAACATTAAATATCTAGGCATATTAATACCACAAGACTTATCTAAATAGTGTCATTAAACATCAACAAAATGTATCATGAGGTATCAATAGGCATTGACAGGTGGGAGTTATTGAACCTGACCCTGTGGGGAAAAGTCAGTGCTCTTAAAATAAATATAATACCTAGACTAGTTTATATCTTAAGAGGAATTCCAATTCTTATACTGAGCAAATACTTTCACAAAATTAAATCTTTGTTTAGAAAATGCCTTTGGGGCTCTTCAGTTCCAAGAATATCTGTGTAAAAGATGCAAATACCGATAAAAGGAGGAGGATTTGGGATCCCAGATTTAGAATTGTATCACCAAGTGTATTTACTGTCAGGTACCCAATTCTGGAGACCCATAACTGAAAACAACTGTCCAAATTGGGCTACTTCGGAATATTCCTATGTAACGCCTTTAGAAACATGGGCGGCACTCCCTGCCACCCACTCCAGTTGTATTACAAACCACTTTTGAAACAAAAGGAGCTTCCAAAAGCAGGTTTTGAGATAGGATATCCCACTCCACACATCAAAGAATTGGGCAAGCCAAAGTTTCTGGATTGCAGGTCATGGGCCTTAAGCTTTGATTTTTTTATTCATAAATTGAAAACAAGCACACTCTCTTAAAACATAAAATAAAAAACTGAAGCACGAACTATTCTGAAACATGACTGCTGAGAATCTTTAATCTGTCTTTGTCATTTGCAGGCATTCACAATTCAAGGGCAGTATGCCATCCCTCATCCAGACGTGAGTCCAACGCATGTAAATTGCTTTCCGTTTTCTATTTTCTCTTCCATTTGTTCTGGGCAGCATTACTTTCTGAGTATCTAAATGTCAAGGAAGCATCTATGAATGACCCTCCTTAGCAGTGAAACATTTAGTCAAATGCTAGGTTTCTCAGATAACTTTGTGCCAGCGTTGCTATAGAAAGTACAGTGGCCCAGATACAAATTAACCCCCACCCCATTTTATGCATGTTATATATTTTGGTTTTTAAATTGTAAATATTATACAGAACGGTAGTTAAAGATATTAACAGTAGCCATTTACATGTAATAACGGTAGCAATGTAATTTTAACTTACTTTTCTATTAGTAGACTAGAGTGAATGATTTAAAACTTTTTTATTATTTAATTTTAATTAATCCAGTTTTGAAACGTGTTAAGATGGTTTTTTTCTACTCTGAAATAATTCCATTTGATTGGTTAGTTCTAATTTCCCATCCTGCCCTGCAGTTGACCAAGCTTCACCAGTTGGCTATGCAGCATCCCCCCTTTACTCCCCTTGGGCAGACCACCCCTGGTTTCCCTGGTACGTACCCATGACTCCCTGGGGATGTCCTTCTTCTTAACAGCTTTGTTTCCCGTGGGCCATTGCAGCATTTGCAGCGCTAAATGTCGTCAATGGCCAATGCTCCTTTTGTTTTGACTCATTAATCTCTGTCGGTTCTTACGCTTTCCCCTCTTCCTGCGGCTCCCTTTATCGGATTTCCTTTGTCATCGCTAAACATTTTTGCTTTGTTCTGGGTTTTCATGTGCTTTACCTCAATTTTACCACCAACTTAAGAACTGGGGTTTCTTTTCTATCAGGCATCAAATGTTGTTAGGAGCCACTGAGGGATGTGCCATGTGCCTGGAGTTTTTGGTGGTTAAAATTGCACGTTTGCTTTTCAAAGGGAGCCTGCGTAAACCGGAACTAAGTATTGTGTGTTGTGGATCATTGATATATATTTTTGCAGATTCAAGTTCTTACTGAATTTCTGTATTAATGAATTACCTGGAATACCTAATGAAGGGTTGTTAAATAGTTGCTGAGCTTTTTTTTTGGGGGGGGGGATGTAAGTCAAAGTTGTTGAGATTCTTTTAGGAAACTCAAATTTGTTTTGAGTTTTACCTCAGAATCCTGGACATTTTGCCAATTTTCTAAAATTCTGGACGTATGGCAACCTTATGTTAAATTTAGTGTATTGACTATGTTTGAAATAATTAAATTTGTTTCAGTGGAATTATAGATTTACGTATTTTCAAAAGACAAGCTCTGCACACTGGCACATACTTTGAATGGCAATTAATAACATTTTTATCACATACATCAAAACTTTTGTGGGAAACTGAATTGAGTACACAGTGTTCAGTAATTCAGTTGACATGACATTTATATATTATGACAGAATTGGCTGGATTTAGACATAGTAATCTAATTTAAATGGACAAATTTGTTGGGTACACAAAGAAAATAAAACACCTGTAAGCTGCTGAAACATTTGCTTACAAAAAATTAAAATGGATAAAGTAGAACTGACATGGATATATGGTGTATCTGATAAATAAACTTCTTTAAGAAGTTCTGCACTCTTTTCCTTATTATTTTCATTAACTCGCTGCTCCTGAATCTGTTCCTTGTACTATTGTGGACTGTGTAGATCTGTAATTTTGAATGTTAACACATTAATTGCATTTCCTAAACACTTCCCTTTTATCCATCCAAATTTAATCTAGCCTATTGCAACCTTAATGGTATTTCGTCCCTATTCCTTTAAAACACCCTTCTTTCCAACCCTCCGCAAATTGACTAATTCCCTGTATAACATTATAGCTTGCCTAGTTTCTCCCCATATTTATGTATTTTTTCAGTTTTCATATGTATTTTTTTGGCTTTAGATTCCCACTTTTTATTTTCTGGAAGTTTGAATTTGAGCCATCTATTTATTTTTTACAACCAAGTGTTGGATTTCTAACTTTATTGCTAATTGAAATCTACAGTTTTCTATTTTCCTTTAACAGCATCATATATATATGATGAATATATATATATATATTCTATTGTTATTTTGGTAGGAGCCAATGTCTTTTTAAAAATTACATTCCAATTAGTACATAGCTCTAATATCTGCAGTTCTGGCTTTATTTTTTGTTGAGCTAGCTGCTAGATTTTTCTTTGCTCCACTTTTTAAAACTAAAAAACTTATGAATGCCACAGTTTTTGCTTATCCCTGTTTCAAAATCACCCTTGTAATTCCCCCCCCCCTTTTTGTCCTTCAAATCTAGGATTGGATACCAGTACTCCAACCAGTTCCCATGAACTCACTATTCCAAATGATGTAAGTACACTTAATTTCTCTTCTTCTTGAGATTTGTTTATATCTCTTACCTATCATAGTTGATATAGTATAGTCACTCAGAGTGAACTGGGGAGTCCCTAGTTCAGATTTTAACTTAACCATGAACGCAGAGCCATCTGCCCTAGCCAGCTAAGGGAAATACACTTACAGTTTTGCAAGGCAGTACCTCTCTGGATGAGGAACCATCAGCTGTGGCTTCCTTCTTTTGAGCTGGGTCTGGGAACTGGGGCACTCTTTGCCGTGGTTCTGTTTCTGCATGGATGGCTGATTCCAGAAGGTGGAGTGGGGAATTGTTGTTCAACTTCCTGGGACTTGTGCTTTGGGCTTCCACAGACTTCTGTTCTCTCTCTTATGCTTTTTAACCACTGCATGAAGGCACTGAGTGAGTTCATCTGGAGGTTTGGAGTGAGCTGGAGGACCCACAACTCAAGTTCTCCTTTTTTATGCTGTTTTTGTGATATATAAATGACATGAGAAAACTTGGTATACTTGCTTGTATAACATGATTCTTGTTTATAAAACCCAAGAAAGAAAAGAAAAAAAAGAAAAGAAAAGTTCTCCTTTTTATCAAATTCAGGTGAGTCAGTGAGACTAGATGTAACCCAATAAATCAAAGCTTAATCCAGACAAGGTAGAGGTACTGATAATAGGAGGTTTGTCTGCTCAGGTGTGTGATGTTCAGCTTGTTCAGGGTGAATGGGTGCATGTTCCCCTAAACTGTGCATAAGTCTGTGGGTACTCCTTGATCTGCTTTTGTCACTGATGACTGATTGCCTCTCCATCCCAGGCCACCCTTTACTAGGGGTGACCCAGTAACAAAACCTGTGTTGGGCTGGTGCGTCATGAAAAATACCATCTATTCCATCCCATTTCCATGTGTTTAAGGACAAATTGGAATATATCCTTTAAAATCCACACAGAATTTTTAGAGATCAACTTAAGAAGAAAAAACACTTTGGAGGTGATAGTTGTGAGTGTTTATGAAGTGGTCTGAGATATGAAAGTACTGTCAGACCAGACCAGCTGTAAACCTTGAAGTGTTTACAATTCAGGTAGGTCAGGACATAGAAGTTAGGTGTGAAAGGAGTTACAGTGTAGAAAAAGGAGGATAATTTGAGAGGCATGCAGGGGAGAGGAAATATCTCTGAGGGACACAGTGGTTGTTTTCTAATGGGCAGCTTTTAATGCACAAAAGAGCCTTCAGGGGAAAGTGTGGGAGGTTAGGGAGGCTAGTGCGTTCTTTATCAACTGGATTTCCTCTTTTTCTATTGCAACCTTTAAGACTAGATTAGTCAATTCTTGAAAACTCGCAGCCTGGGTGGCTCCTGCACCTTTTACAATGTGCGTAAATCAGCTGGAGTGAGAGTAGGGCATGGGGGCCAATGTGAGCCCCCCGCTAATGTCACCCTATGGCCCAGGCAGATCAGCAGCAACGACCAGTAAACACTGGCAACCCCATTAAAGATGTAGGAACCTGGTTAGGAAAAAAGTTGGCAACCTTTATTGCTAACCTTATTTTGCATAAGTTAACCACTTAATAGCATTTTCATTTGAATTCCTGTCTTTATTTATATAGAGCTATTAGGGGTGTTAGGGAAGGGGTAGAACCTCTGGTGGGGGACACGTCGTGTTCCTTCTTGTGTAGTTTGCCCACCTTTGGTCCCCACCCTGCACTCGGCTGTCACCTGTGGCTCCTAAAAGCTGTCAGCATGTGACAGCGGCCACAATCCCAGGAACAGCTTTGACTGGCCAGCTAAACCAGATAAGGAGAGTCGATGGGTCTCAAACCCTTGGTGAGCGAGGGACTTCTGCTGCATGCAAAAACAGGCTCTGGCGGATTGAACAGGCGAGACCAAGAGTGGGTCCAGCAGGCAAGAAGGCAGTTTCTGCAGGTGCTGTAGGGGAAATGAGGGGCAGGTGGGGCTCGTTCACCTGGGAAGGTAGCCCATCTAGGAGAAAGAAAACTGGTCCTAAACATCCCCTGCCTTATGGGATGTCTTCAGGAGAAGAAAAGAGTAAACCTTACACAAATCTGGAGTGGAGACCTTAAGATTGTTAGATGACGCCTTGTACACCACCTTCTGCCAACTCCTGCGGCCAAGCTGGTGTCAAACATACTGCTCTGCTTTCCTTTGGACCACATCAGCAAGGCCAAGAGGAGGGTCTTGTTGTCTGGGTAGCCTGCAACCTCCATACACACTTTGGTGCTACCACAGTGGTTGAAAACTTCACCCCGGTAGGCACACTCCATTGTCTCTCCAGAAAATTGATGCCAGCAACAACTGATGTACAAGATGCTTTGAGAAGTATCTTACACATGCCATCCTGCTGTGTCCTAGTCAGTGAAAAAGTTGAAGAAGCTAAAATACAATAGCTTGAAAAGCAATCCCTGCAGACTTAAAGCTATTTTGTTCAGTTTTTAGATATCTGTGCCCCTTGACAAAGACCAGTGAATCCAGATCTGACCCAAGATATTTTGGTGCTTGGGGTGGAAAATCTAAATGGCCACACAGTAGAAAAATATAATTTCTAGTGAAATTAACCACTGTCTGCCCTTTAATGGTACTTGGCTCTGTTGCCTAAGGTCATCTTATAGTAGGCTTAGTCGCTTGGATTGCAGCTTGGATGATAACCCCCCCTGTTTGCTGTGAGAATATATTTTTTGCTTCCATCTCTTGCCCTAAACTCTGTTTTTGTCCTGTTTTAGCTAATAGGTTGCATCATTGGCAGACAAGGCAGTAAGATAAATGAAATCAGGCAAATGTCAGGAGCGCAGATCAAGATTGCAAATGCCACAGAAGGCTCAGCAGAACGACAAGTAACAATCACAGGATCACCTGCAAACATCAGCCTAGCACAGTACCTCATTAATGCAAGGTAAGTTCGTTTTGTAAGCAAGGTTCTTCTTGAAGTCCACTGTGCTTCGTAGTAGCTGGATGCAGCTGCCCTGGTTCAGTCCTGTACCACCACCACAACTGTAACCGTGTGGATTAGTAAATTAGCCCAAACTAGCCTTTTTAGTAACATTACCTGATTATTATTATTTTTTATAAAAAAAGGATATTTATGCCCATCTGTGTAACCTACAAGCAGTATTGTTCTAATGCTTGGAAGACAATGCCTTTTGCAAAACAGGCCACTTCCTATGCTGATCGATTCTGCTGTCCAAAACAGAAACAGTCATTAATCAGAAAGCAAAGCTGATATAATTTGCTAGCTAGAAGTTGCTTCAATTGTATAATATTAAACAGATATTTGATTTCAAAGAGGGATTGGGTTTAAAAGAGGAAAATGGCACATGGTGGCAGGGAGCCCTACCCCTGACTCTGGGTTGGAGTGTCTGCTTCCCATTGCATTCTAATTTTGCAAAAATGCTTGATTTGATTCTCAGCTAGTACTTCTGAGCACTGAAGAAAATATACTGAATATTATACTGTCCAACTCTACTACTAAATCATGTCAGCACAGAGAATTAAAATATGTACCGTTTTTCTAAAATATCCTTTCTCACGTCAAGCTACCATCTCAGAAATAGGTTGTTGTATGTATTCACTCAGAAGATTAAGCATTTCTCACATCAGACAAACCTCTCTTTCAACTTTTGCATACACAATTCAAAGCATCACTGAGGACACACAGTATTTGGGGGGGTCCCAATATTTTTAAGGGTGTACAATTGCACGTGTATGTGTGTGCCCTATGATTCCTTTCAAAATTGGCTCTTGATTTGTGCATCGCTCAGAGTGGACTCTTGATTTGCGCAGCCCACTCAAAGTGCTGTTCTGGCAACACTATGAGCCATTTAGTAAGAGATCCGGGGGGGGGGGGCTTCTGGATCTTTTTGGGCAGCCAAATATTTGTCTGTCAGCTCTGTGGGCCACCCATAGACCTGACAGTAAATGGAACAATCTGCATAGGCTTACTTTTATGGCAAAAGTATGTGTACTCTTCTGCCAGGTTCAAAAATCAAAGCAAAACTAGAAGTCAGATAAATGTGCTTGTCAGTTTCCAAATTCAAAAAAGTTTTCCAGTATTGCAGTCAGCCGTCTATATAATGAATATAAATCAGTACCTTAAGCCCTGTGATCAAATAAACATGTGTTCCCTCCTTTAACCCTTAAGGATATGTTCTTCTCTTGGTGTTCAGGGATTCCCCACACATCGAGATGAGAATAGACCCCTTCATTTTTAGTTGTACAAACACCACATGGCATCTCTGAAGATAACAATTTAAGATCTTCCGGACAGCTAAAGCATGCAAATAAAATAAAACACTTGTTAATGGAGTTGCAGCTTGCTGCTCACCATTAGTGAGCAAACCTATACCTGATTCACTTAGAAAATCTTGTGAGCTCTCATGGTTCTTTTGATGTTTTCATGGAATGGAATTTAAGAGATCATTTAACGCCCTTTGGCAAAGAAGACATCTGCTCAGCAACCCTACACTACGGATACTGTAGAACCAGAAGGTGGTTTCTTCTGTTGAATTTCTAGGTGGGATTTGTAACAGCCACCTTCTGTTTTTAAACATGTATCTTATGTACATATTAATTATGTGGCAAATGTATCTTCATAAAATGGCTATGATTTATAAATAAAGGGTCTTGAGAGAATGTGTAAGTAAAATACATTCTGAATTTACAAAGGCAAAAGAACGGGGTCTTTCCAATTTGGCAGCTGAATGTGGCACTGAGCATGTTTTTTGCTCATGGAGAAAATGTTGGGAGCAAGTGGTTGGGAGTTTGGAAGCGCTCTGTAATCAAAGGAGTCATGCCAGTTGCAAGCCCTATATTGGGAGTCTCAACAGACTGCATGAGCTGTGGATATTACATATCTCTGTAGTGATTTGTAGTGGCTTCACCGTGGGAAGGTGAGAAGCTTAAAAGCAGCCACACTGAAGACTAGCGTATAAAGCATTCAGTTATTATCAGATAAAACCTAAAAACACACATCTCAGCTTGACAGCTAATTTTTAACACAGCTTATTTTGAATTGAGCAGGGTCTGATGGGCAAGCAATGTTAATCTGACCTACTGAACTACTCCAGTGCAAGCTGAAACAAAGGCTAAGAGCTATTTAACTCTTGCCTTCCTAATGTGAGCAGCAACAGACTTTGGCAGACTCTTCCCTTTTTATGTACCATAAAACCCAGAGTCTGAGTCCAAGGACTTTTTAATGTAAAGAGTTCCTTGTTTGTGTCTGAAGGTCACCAAGCAAAGCAAAGGATGGACTCTCATAAATATTCTGTTATTCCCACTGAGACTGGTGGCAAAGAGCCGTTTGCTATGATTCTATGATTCTACAATGTATCTGAAATGCTTGGGATTGTGAATTATGCTGGGGGCCTGATAGGAAGTTGCTAGGGGCCAGACTGAGTCTCTAGGACCTGTGTTTACGTTCCTTATGTTTTCTGTAACATTTAAATGAAACAAAATGATAAATGCAGCTCACAGCCATGTGAAATAACACGTTCCAGTGTATTGCTAGCTTCTCCTTCACTGTTTTTTCCCCCCTTCATTCTACATCTCCTTTCTCATCGGCATCTCTCACAACTCTGGGAGTTGTCTGCCTCCATAGCATAGAATGCAACTTACCCATGGCTTGATGTCATCCCACTAATCATTTGGCCATCAGCACCAACCAGTGCACAGAAAGACACAGCATTATAGACAGCACATTTCATTAGGGTGCGCACCCAGGGAATTTCATTCATTCATTTATTTAAATGAAGAGAATGGGGAGGGGAGAATGACGAGGAGATCAAAGAAGAGATATAGAGACAAAATGCTAATCAAACAACTACGAGAAGTGTGGGCAAGAAGCCAAAACAGATTTTTCCTTCCGATAAAAATACCTGTGCCAGATCTGGAGGGCCGGGGACAGGATGACCCCTCCCCTTTTTACTTGCTTGCCACAAAAGCAGCCCCTCCCCCTACAGAGCTCTCTCCACAAAAGGTGGTAACCGGAGCTCAGACAGAGACAGGTGCAGCAGAAGGAAAAGGCTGGAATGGCTTTTGTCTGCAAAGGAGGGAGGCCCTCTTCCTCCCTTACTGCCTGCGCTGGAGCCAGTCACCCACCACGGCTTCCAGAGACAGTCGCAGGCAGAAGCTGCAGATCCATTCCAGTCTTTTTATTCTGCCTGTGTTTCTCTCTTTCTGCTTCCTTGACCCCTGCTTTTTAAAAAATATCTATCTATCTCTCTCTCTCTCTCTCTATCTATCTATCTATCTATCTATCTGGGTGTGCTTGGGCACATCCTGCAATCCTGCACACACACACACCACACATAAGGACATTAGGTACCTTCTACATGTCATAGAGAACAAAACAGAAACTCAAGGATTTCCATTTTGGGGCAGATACCCTGAGCTCAGTGCTGTGTAGGGGTGTGTGTGTGTGTGTGTGTGTGTGTGTGTGTGTGTGTAAAAGCATACTCACACATATCCACACACACAATCAGGATATTTATTTATCCGTTTATTTTTCACATTAAGTATTTTCAGACAGGAAATTGTTGCTTTTGGTTGAAAACATAATATCATTCATAAACATGTCACCACCATAACTTGCAACTTTATCCTGTGCAAATTTATTCAGAAGTAGGTTCAATAGGACATACTTCCAAGGACATTTATTTGTTTTTGGATCATCTTTCAGGACATAGCCTTCACAAGGCAACTTCCATTAAAAAAAATATCTAATAAAAGGTGCCATTAAAGTAATATGCCTAGAATTATATCCTTGAGCCTGAAGTCCTTTGGCTTCTGGGAGGGTCTTGGAGCTTCAGTCTCAGAGAAGGAGATCCAGTGTTGGATTGTCCCTTCCTGCCACCACAGCAGCATCCACAGTTCTGGCCAGAATCAGTATCAGAGCTCTGACACCAGAGGGCTAAAAAGGGGCTGTGGGGCAGTTCTGGAGGATCCATAGCCTTCCCTATCTCCCCAAACCAGGGGATGCAAATGGTTTTTTAAAATAGAGATATAGGGACAGAGAAGGGCAAGAGTGTTCCTCCCACATCCTGCCACCCAGCTCAGCATGATGCAAGAGAAGGAGGACAGATTTCTGTTCTGCCCTAGGCTAAGGCTGCTGAGGTGGAACATCTAGGTGGAACATCTAGTTCACCTAGAACAGTGACTGTTCCTAAGGTGGGACAGAGAGAATCAAAGGTGGCTGAGCCACCTTATCCATTCCCCTCCTGGGCTCTTGCCAGCAGGGTGGAAGTGCAGTAAGGGGGAAAGGAGTGCTCTTTGGCTCCTCCATCCTTTTTCCAGTGTTTTCTTTCTTTCACAATGTCCCTTCCATTGCAAACAAGGGAAGGAAAATTAACTACCTGCTGGCATATTTTTCTCCCTGGTCTGAGGGCTTATTGGGGGGCTTCCTCCAGAGTCATGCCCTTCCTCCAGCACCACACCGTTTCCTGCCCTCCCTCTGTTTTTGAATCTCCCTCTCCATCCTTTCACCCTTCAGTGGCATCCCAAGGAACAAAAGATTGCAGGGTCAAAGGAAGACAAGTATTTTCTAATATGAAAAATTGGCAGATTCTGTGCAAAGCAGGATATTGCATTCAACGTATTTCTTTCAACCAGTGCACATTTTCTATGAAAAGAGGCTGTGAAATGTGGCCTTTTTCATGCTTTCTTTGTCCCAGTTAAGATAAGGGAAGGGGGCTCTCCAGGTGTCCTTTGGACTCCAGCTCCCATCAGCCCTGTTGTCAGGGGTGATGGCAACAGTAGTCCAACATACATTTGGAGACCCAGGTGAGCCCCCCCCCCCCGCGCTAAACCAGGAGGCAGCGCCACGAGACCAGGCCACAGCAAATCTCAAGCTCCTGTGCTCCACTCATTCTCCTCCCTCATCCACTTCTTCTCATTGTATTGGTCATTTTACATTTTGTCTAAATACAGAAAAAATAGTTTTGTACAAATCAGCTAGCACATTGAAGCAGAATATCAAACCAGGTTCAGACTTTAAATGCCCTCCCCTTAAAGAAGAGGAGAGAGGAAAAGGGGGTTTATCTGTGTAGAATGGCTCATGCCGTGTTTGCGTCAAGCTTTTCTGCTGCATTAATGCCCATTTCAAAGTTTATAAACCTTTCTGGCTAGAATCCATAAGACTGCATGTTTGCATGGAAGATATCCTAAACAAATAGTTTTTTAGACTAAGCTAGATCTCTGTTGATTCTCTGCTGCCAGATTGCAGAAAGTGAGTACATCATATTGAGCTGCAACTGAAATGCAGCTGGATTTGAAATACAGAGAAAATGCTGCCTTTTTCCTTCTGAAGCAGGCACCATTCCCAGAGACATATTGATATGACACAAGGTCCTGTAAGGGACTAGGCATGCTCTGATTGATGGTGGAATAATGTACAATGAATTCCATTATCCCATCATACCCTGAGAGGGGTTTGTCTGAACTTTCAAGGTCTTGCCTTGGATTTTACCAACCTAATCCAAATTCTAATTTGGTTTACAGAATATTTAATACAGGTGAGTGGTGATACATGAGAAGGAGTCTCCTGTCATGCTCTAATGGGCCACAGTTCTTTATATGTATTTGCTACTACAAATTAACACGGACATTCTTCTGGAATTCTTCAAATGCCGAGCTGAACATCTAGTTCACAGTGACTGTTCACAGTGACGGCAAACAAACTATGTTATATGGGACTGGAATAATACAAAAGCAGCAAATGTTGATTTTCCAAAATGTCAGCTGCATAGATCTATTTCAGAATAAATCCAAAATATAACTGTAAAGCCACAAATATGTATGTTAAAGCTATGCAAGCATTTTGTAAAATATCCCACATGATCATTACCTAACAAGATTATTCAGCCAAGTTTAGATCGGAAAGGGAGAAATGTCCCATTGTTTATCTTTCCTCAGCTAGTAATTCAACTAAATCCTCATATAGACAATTGTGGTGTAATCCCACTGACTGCTCTAACTAAAAGGAATGCAGTCTAATAAGTATTGTTTTTCAATAAGGCTGACTGAAAGTGTTCATGTCCATAGCTTCAATTTTGTAGCTGGAGTTGCTTTCTATGAAACTCAGGGTCTTTACAAATGTTACCAAAAAAAGAACAGAAAAGTGGAGTCTCCTGCTCTTTGACCATAAATGCTGCTAGCGCTCACCTCTTTGTGAGAGGGAACAGTTCTAACACTTCCCAAGTGTTTACTCCTCTGGGGTTGAAGCTCCCAGAATAATTTTTTGATGTATGCTTGTATATAAAATATTTCCTTAGCCAGCCTGTAAAGGCATGGACAACGGTTCCCAGAATCATTCTCTGAAAATGTACTGGGAGTGATACACACGCACAGTGTGTCATAAGGTGCCTCACCCAGATGTCAATATTCCTGACAGATCAGTTGGTGATGCAACAACTTCCAGCACCAGGCCTTAAGTGACACTCCATTACAAACCCATTAGTCATCTTTTCTATACTAACTCTCCTTTCAAGAAGAGATGACGGAAACCTGGTAACTTTAATCAAGGAAGTGACATACTGTTAACAAAATCTCTGTGATACAGCCAAAGTTATGAATGTTGATTGCAATTTTAAGAGTTCAGCAAGCACTTAAATCTCTTCCACTGAAATCAGTGGGGCTTAAAATGTTTAATTGGGGCTTTATCATGTCTACTCAAAATACAAATGTTAACGATCCTTATCTGCCATATTAGATTAAATCCCAAGCTTAATTGTCTATGACACGGACCCCAAAAGCCCAGGGAATACCTCTTGGATGTTCCATGTGCATGGAAATATGGTCAGTTTTTTCTTCCTACCACAGCCCTTCACACTACAGTGGTACCTCTAGGTACAAACTTAATTAATTCGTTCCAGAGGTCCGTTCTTAACCTGAAACTGTTCTTAACTAGAGGCGTGCTTTTGCTAATGGGGCCTCTTGCTGCC